CAAGCAATGCACTTGGATTCTCTCCCAATCTCACAAAGATGATGAATCAATGATGGAGATGAGTGGGAGGACTTTGGCTAAGCTCACAAGGTTGCTATGTCAATGCAAATGGCCAAGAGAGTGAGCTTGAGCCGGTCATGGGGCTTAAATAGAAGCCCCCACGAAATAGAGCCGTTCACTGGACACAACGCGGGGTGACCGGACGCTCCGGTCATATTGACCGGACGTTGGACCTCAGCGTCCGGTCACACGATGCACGCCACATGTCCCTCTCTTCAAATGCTGTGCGCTCGATCTCAACGGTCAGAAGATGACCAGACGCAGTAGCTAACAGTGATCGGACGCTGAACCCCCAGCGTCCGATCGTTTCCAGTAAGCTTTCAGAAATGATTTTTCCCGACCGAACGTATCCGGTCATGCTTGATCGGACATAGCCAGCGTCCGGTTACACAGTGTCTTCCTCTGTGTTGTCATGTCAGCATCACCGGACGCAGCCTTCCAGTGTCCAGTCGTTTGACCGACGCCAGCGTCTTCGCTGTTACAACTGACCGGACGCGCTAGTCCCTCTAAGACCAGCGTCCAGTCACTTTGTGACCAGCGAGACTAACTCCTTTTTACCTCTATCTTCTTCACCCTTGCTCAAATATGCCAACCACCAAGTGTATCACCTTGTGCACATGTGTTAGCATATTTTCACAAATATTTTCAAGGGTGTTAGCACTCCACTAGATCCTAAATGCATATGCAATGAGTTAGAGCATCTAGTGGCACTTTGATAACCGCATTCCGATACGAGTTTCACCCCTCTTGATAGTACGGCTATCGATCCTAAATGTGATCACACTCACTAAGTGTCTCGATCACCAAAACAAAATAGCTCCTACCATTTATACCTTTTGCCTTGAGCCTTTTGTTTTTCTCTTTCTTCTTTTCAAGTCCAAGCACTTGATCATCACCATGGCATCGCCATCTTCATGTCATGATCTTCATTTGCTCCACCACTTGGAATGTGCTACCTATCTCATGATCACTTGATAAACTAGGTTGGCACTCAGGGTTTCATCAATTCACCAAAACCAAACTAGAGCTTTCAGGAGGGCACCAAAGAGGTCCTCTAGACCCTAGCAGCTCTAAGGGCAAAGTGAGGCGCATCGGCACCACGCTTTTCTCCAAATAGAAAAGTGTACTCGTCGACTTCCTCCATGCCAATAGAGACATCTTTACGTGGAGACCCTCGGATATGCCAGGCATTCCGAGAGAAGTTGCTAAGCATGCCTTGAAGATTAGGCTAGGCTCTAAGCCAGTGAAGCAACGCCTGCGTTGCTTCGACGAGGAGAAGCGTAGGGCCATCGGTGAGGAGATTGCGAAGCTTTTGGCGGCCGGATTCATCAAGGAAGTGTATCACCCCAGTGGTTAGCCAAACCTGTTCTGGTAAGAAAAAAGAGTGAGAAATGGAGAATGTGTGTTGATTACATGGGTCTCAACAAAGCATATCCAAAGGATCCATTTCCTTTGCCGCGCATAGATCAAGTAGTCGACTCGACCTCAGGGTGCGAAACCCTCTGCTTCCTTGATGCGTACTCCAGATACCATCAAATTATAATGAAATAGTCCAACCAGCTCGTGACATCTTTCATCACCCCGTTCGGATCGTTCTGCTATGTCACAATGTCATTCGGTCTGAAAAACACGGGGGCTACGTATTAGTGTTGTATGCTCAAGTGTTTTAGGGACCTCATCGGGCGAACTGTTGAGGCCTATGTAGATGACATTGTAGTCAAGTCCAAATAGGCTGACCAGCTCATAACCGATCTAGAGCAGACCTTCACGAAACTCCGAGCAAACGACATCAAACTCAACCCCAAGAAATGCGTTTTTGGGGTCTCAAGGGGTATGCTGTTGGGTTTTATCGTCTCTGAGTGTAGCATCAAAGCCAACTAGGAGAAGATCTCGGCCATCACGAGGATGGGCCCAATTCAGAACATAAAGGGGATACAACGAGTTATAGGGTGCCTTGCCGTGCTTAGCCATTTTATCTTGCGCCTCGGCGAATGAGGTCTCCCCCTCTATTGGCTTCTAAAGAAAGCTGATCGTTTCGAATGGACGCCTGAGGCCCAGGAGGCACTGGACAAGGTCAAGCAGCTCCTGATGAAGGCCTCGATCCGGGTCCCCCCGACCGATGGGGAACCACTCCCACTCTACATTGCGGCCACCACGCAAGTGGTCAGTGCCGCCCTGGTGGTAGAGCGGAAGGAGGAGGGACACGCCCTCAAAGTACAGCGTCCTGTGTACTTTGTTAGCGAGGTCTTGTCCGATTCCAAGACTCACTACCCCAAATCTAGAAACTCCTGTACACAGTCCTTATCGCTAAGAGGAAGTTATGTCATTACTTCGAGTCACATCCGGTGACGATCATGATGTCCTTCCCCCTCGATGAGGTTGTCCAAAACTGGGATGCCACAGGAAGGATTGCAAAGTGGGCACTCGAGTTGATGGGTCAGGGTATTTTGTACGTCGCTCGGACGACCATCAAGTCCCGAGTCCTGGCTAACTTCATGGCAGAATGGACCAAGATCCAAATGCCACTAGGAGTACTGGACAATGTACTTCGATGGGTCGCTAATTTAGAAGGGGTCGGCGTGGGGCTGGTCTTCGTTTCCCCCCTTGGAGTGCACATGAAGTACATGGTCTGCATCCACTTCCCTGCCTCTAATAATGTGGTCGAATATGAGGCACTCATTAACAGCCTACACATTGTTGTTGAGCTGGGCATCCGATGGCTCAACGTCCGTTGCGACCCCTAGCTGGTCATCGACCAGGTCATGAAGGAGTCAAGCTGCCACAACACCAAGATGGTTGTGTATTGTCGAGAGGTCCGCTAACTGGAGGACAAGTTCGATGGTCTCGAGCTCAATCACATCCCAAAGCGGCTCAATGAAGCAGCCGACGTGCTGGCAAAGATGGCATCCAGCCGAGAGTCGGTGCCGACGGGCATTTTCACCACTGACCAGTACAAGCCCTTGGTCCGCTACGAGGAGCCAAAATGAACTGGTGATAGGTCGCCGACCCCGGACTCGGGGGCTGACCAACCCTCAGCTCCCCATACCTCGAGGTCATGGAGCTTGACGTAGACCCAGTGGCAGAGCCCGACCCTCTTACTATCTGGAGGACGCCTTACCTTGATTACCTCCTCCATGAGGTGCTACCGACGAACAAAATGGAAGCTTGGTGGCTCGCGTGTCACGCCAAGTCCTTCGTCGTTATTGAGGGGGAGCTCTACAAGCGAAGCCACACTAGAATCCTGCAGCGCTGCATCCCCATCGAACAAGGGAAGCAGTTGCTGAGACATATCCACGGTGGCGTCTGTGGGCACCATGCCACACCTAGGACCCTGGTCGGAAATGCGTTTTGATAGATCTTCTACTGGTCGACCATAGTAGCTGAAGGTGAACAGATTGTGCGCACCTACGAAGGGTGTCAATACTATGCTCGGCAGACCCACCTGTCGGCCCAAGCACTCCAAACGATCCCCATCACGTGGCCGTTAGCGGTCTAGGGGCTCGATATGGTCGGACCTCTCAAGAGAGCGCCCGGGGGTTATACGCACTTGCTTGTCGCCGTAGACAAGTTTACAGAGTGGATAGAGGCTCGGCCGATCTCCGTGATCAAGTCCGAGCAAGCCGTGCTGTTCTTTCTTGACATCGTCTATCGTTTTGGAGTCCCAAACTCCATTATCATGAACAAAGGCACACAGTTCCCTAGGAAAAGTTCCTTCGATTCTGTGATGAATACCATATCCGCATCGATTGGGCCGCCGTGGCGCACCCCCGCACGAACAGGCAGGTCGAGTGCGCGAATGGCATGGTCCTACAAGGCCTCAAGCCTAGGATCTTCAATCGGTTGAACAAGTTTGGCGGACGATGAGTCGCGGAGCCAAGGCATTGCTCGAGGATGCCATGGATCAGGTTGACGAGGCGCGCAACGTTGCCCTCCTTCGCTTAGCTAAGTACCAGCAGACGTTGCACAGATACCACAGCCGTCGGGTGCGGGGTCCCCTAGACGATATATCAAATCTGATACACAATCAATACAAAATAACAGAGCACAGGATGTAGGGTTTTACGTCATGCTGACGGCCTGAACCTATATAAATCTTGTGTCTTGTGTCTCTGTTATCGTCTGGTTCGTATCACGCGCACCTCCACCGATTCATTTACTACCATGGGTATACCCTCGGTAGACTATCGACCAGATTTCGTCGACAGCGAGAGAGAGAGGAAGCGGGTCCAGGGTGACAGAGAGAAGGAGCAAGGGGCGCGGGCGCACTGCCGTCGGCTATGGGCTAGCTTGGGCCTCGACCGAGACAGAGCAGGGAGGGAGCACTTGGGCTGGCTCAGCCCACGCGGGGAGTGAGGGGAAAGAGGGGAGAGTAGGCCGACTTTGGGAAGGGTCTAAGGGGGAAGGAGTGAGGCTGGGCTGGAGCATGTCGTGGCCCAGAAGGGGAGAGGGTTTAATCTTTTCTTTTTTTCAAATTGTTTTTCTTAATACTTTTTCAAATAGATTTTGAATTCATTTGAACCTTGAACCAAAACCAAATTCAAATATTATTTCAGATATACTTTTCAATTCAAATTAAAATGGACAATTTTGGTAGGCTTTCAAAAATAAACTTTTACAAGGGCTCTTTTAAATTCTTTTATTTTCCCTTTTTCTTTTCTTTTGTTTCAAAGTTATTTCCAAAGGCAATTCAAACTATTTTGAATTTTAATCAAAATCAGTCAACCAAATAAATCAAATGCACCGGCATGAATACACCATCAATGTTGCTAAACCCTATGATAAATTTTAATTTAATAAAAAATATTAGTTTCCTACGTTTCATGAGAAAAAAAAACAAAATTAAATCAATTTAGCTCTAACCAAATTTTAGGGCGTTACCCTTTTCAATCTCGCAGACACGACTGACGACCCCGCAAAGCGCAAAACCCTCGGTCGCGGCAATGGCCGCCTCCGCCTCCGCCTCCCCGCCGCGCCGCCGCCACAGCCACCGCGATGACGTCTCCCCGCGCCGCCGCAAGCGCCGCGCGTCCCCGTCCCCGTCCCCACCCCGCTCGCCATCCCCCGGCGTCGACGCGGACCGCCGTCGCAGATCTAGGGCTTCACCGCCCGATTCCGACCGCTGCGGCCGCCGCCGCGACGCCAAGCCCTCAGAGGAGAAGGAGAACGGCCACGCCAAGCCCGGAAGGGATGAGGACGGCGACAACCGCCCTCCCCGGCGCGACAGGGTTTCAGATGGGGAGGATGGTGTCGAACGCCGGAGGATGCGCGATAGGGTTTCCGACGATGAGAAGGAGGAAGGCCGTCGGCGCAGGCGGGCTAGGGACGCGGATGACGAGCCGGACGACCGCCGTGGTAAGCGAGACCGTGAGAGGGAGAGGGACAGCCGGCGCCACCGCCGCCGGAGCCCTAGCTCGGAGTCAGGGTCCTCATCCGACGACCGTCGCCACCGCCGCCGGCGCCGAGACGAGGGCTCCAGGCGGCGGGATGACCGTAGGCGAAGGGAGGACGACGGAGACGAGCGCCGGAGAAGCCCTGTGAAGAGGGAGCCGACCCCGCCACTGCCTCCACCACCACCGCTGCTTCCGGAGATGATCCCTGGCCGCACGGGTGGGATCTACATCCCGCCTTTCCGTATGGCGCAGATGATGCGTGATGTGGAGGACAAGTCGAGCCCTGAGTATCAGCGCCTCACCTGGGATGCTCTCAAGAAGAGCATCAATGGGCTGGTGAATAAGGTGAATGCGACCAATATCAAGAATATAGTGCCGGAGCTCTTAGCAGAGAACCTTGTTCGTGGGCGGGGGCTCTTCTGTCAGTCTTGCATCAAGTCACAGATGGCCTCACCTGGGTTCACTGATGTATTAGCTGCTCTAGTTGCGGTTGTGAATACCAAGTTCCCTGAGATTGGGCAGTTGCTTCTTGTTCGTGTTGTGCTCCAGCTGAAGAGGGCATATAAGCGAAATGACAAGGTGAGCTTGTCTTCATTTTCCTTAGCTCAAGAAGTATTAATACTTTTTTACCTTTTGGTTTAAGAATGACCCATTTATTTAGAATTTACAAATGCTGGGGTCTAGTTGCATTCCAAGGTGATTTCATAGAACTAATTTAGTTTAATGTAAGGTTGCTTACCTAATCCTGATCAAGATCTTTGCAATTGTTTCAACTCACTCATTTACAAAATGGGCTATGCCATTTATAGTAGTCTGGAAAACAAAATTGGCTACTTAAGTCTGCAGCGAAGCAGAACTATTTGTACCAATAGGTCTGCTGTTCTGTTGTTACAAAGGGTTGTAGTTAGGCTCATGAAAATTTTTGCTCAACACTTTACATTGTTTTCCATTTGTATTAGAACGCATGGACTGGATCGATGCAGGTTTGGAAAGTTACATAGGGTATACCTTCTACTTGGATTCTGGTTTCAAATCAAATAAAAGAACTAACGGAAGTTGCTGTTTCTACCTGGGTCCTATATGCACTGGCGTCTGCTGTTTATGTACATAGGATGAATTGTTGCTTACATTCAGGATGCTTAATATTTGAGTATGAAGAATTACATACTTTATTGTTAGTTTCTGCATATATTTCTTACTAAAGTTCTCCTTTACTTGCAGCCTCAATTGCTTGCGGCAACCAAATTCATTGCGCACTTGGTAAATCAGGTGGTGGCACATGAGCTTTTGGCGCTGGAGCTTCTTACTGTACTCCTGGAAAATCCAACTGATGATAGTGTTGAGGTACATAGCTTGGACCTTATGTACTTTTTGACTTTTTTTTTATCTTGTTAACAATTAACAACTTACTCATTTCTGGAATATGTGTATGTTTGTCAATGATAGGTCGCTGTGGGGTTTGTCAAAGAGTGTGGGGCAATGCTGCAGGACTTGTCTCCTCAAGGGCTTCATGGTAAGCTATTTCAAACAGTGCTCTGAGTATGGCTTGCTAAACTTGTTAGCTTTTGGTGATGCAGAATGGTTTTCTCAACACACATTTTATACCATCGACATTCATTTATGGATTTTCAAATTGTTTGAGTCTCTAATGTAGTATGGTCTCGTGGTTAATTCTAAAATACTTGGATACCATGATGATGGTTAGGTCAATCATGTGATTATCTGGGTTTTGGCAGAATGTAGAAACCGCGTTTTAACTTTGTATAAGATGCATTATTGTGGACCAATGGTGAACAACTAGATGTTCAGCCTTAGTTTTGGATGCTCTGGAGAAGAAAAGTTTTGATGCGTAAGTACAATTATTTAATTTATGCTGCTATATGAATTGAATTGAATCTGGCAACATTATCCTCTGTGCTAGTTGCCTAATTAAGTAAGATGGAAACTTGTGTACATAGGTTAGCTATGTGACATGAAGGTTGCTTTTAAAGGTACAAACCACTGTTAGCCACCATAAGTAAACGGTCAAAATTTTTCTGAATTGTTCTATACATCTCGATTGTGTAATACTCCCTCCGGTCCAGTTTATAAGGCACAGTCAGACATGACATGGTCTCCCAAATTACAATTTGGTCATTCATTTATTGTATTTTTTTTATGGTTATAAATTTATGATCATTGGCAGTATATTTGATTTATAATCTAACTATATCAAGTTTGTATTACAATTACTGGCCAAATTATTGGTTCAAGATTGTGAAGTTTGAATCTTGATATGCATGTGCAAACTGGACCGGAGGGTGTATTCCTTCGAGCCGATGCATATAATCTTTCCATTAACTATATGCATATATTATTTTAGTGTGTGGACAGTCAACTATTTATGTTCTGGCTAATATATTTCTCCATTAAAAACTGGATGAGACATACAAAAGATGATATAGTGGACTTGTTTGGGTTGTAATTGAAGCTTGTTATTTTTTCTTTATGTTTGTCACTCATTATAAGACGGATTGATGTTTAGTTTTCTGTTCTCTTTTGAATACTGTGTCCAAAAATATTTATTTTTTATTCGAGGGTGAATGCTATGTTTGGCATTAAATGTGATTAGTGATTATTTATTTATAAATGCTGAAACACTTATTCATCCTTAATTTGACCTTATTGATCCCACGCTGTTAGTTTTGTTCTCTCTAATATTTCTTGTTCCATTCACAAAGTATTTACCTGTTGATCAATTCATGCAGCTATTTTTGAAAGATTTCGAGGCATTCTTCATGAAGGAGAAATAGACAAGAGAGTGCAGTTTCTTATTGAAGGCCTTTTTGCAATCAGAAAGGCTAAATTCCAGGTAAAGTTACACTTGTGGTCATGGTTTTTGAGGTGCTGTGGTGTCCTGTTGTGCTGGGGATACGGCTGTACGCCTAGGCTCCTTCTAGGCGACACCTAGGTGATATGGTGTAACTAAAACCTTGTGTCGTCCTGTGGCACCTGGGGTATGCCTCAATGCCTAGGCGACGCCTCAAAAACCATGCTCCTGATTTAGAAAAGGCTCGAAGTTGAGAAGCCTGGTGTTTTTTGTGTTGCATGTTCAATTGAATGTTCTGACATGATTTTGTTCCATTTATGTAGGGTTTCCCAGCCATCCGTCCAGAGCTGGATCTAGTGGAGCAGGAGGACCAGTTTACACATGAGATATCCCTTGAAGATAACCTAGACCCTGAGACCAATCTAAGTAAGGTTTTGCTGCATAGATATTCCTCTATGCTACATTGATAATATGAACTTTCTGACTGGAGATCCAGTTGTGTGTAATGTAATGCTGACCTCTCTTTAATTGCAGATGTTTTCCGGGCAAACCCCAATTTTGTTGAAGATGAGAAGGCATATGAGAATCTAAAGAGAAGCATCCTGGGAGCAGAGTCTTCTGAAGATGAAGAAGGATCAGATGCTGCTTCTGATGATGATGAAGATGAGGAAGAATCCGATGAAGAGGATGAGGAACAAATGGAGATAAGGGATAGAACAGAGACGAATCTTGTGAATCTTAGAAGAACAATATATTTGACTATTATGTCCAGTGTTGATTTTGAAGAAGCTGGGCACAAGCTTATGAAAATTAAGCTTGAGCCTGGTCAAGAGGTAAGCATCAGAAGCCCTTCTTGATTTCATATGATTCTGATTTCTGATATTGATTTTGATATCTAATATTGATTTATGTTTGTTTGTTGAGGTGTTTCTTGCTTGCTTGTTTGTCTTTGGTTCCCTTTTCCTTTTTGATAGTAAGCTGCCACAGTTTAGAAACTTACATTCTGTATTTGCTTCTAGTACCACTATTCTTTTTTACACTGATTTAAACTTTCATACTCCTCAAGTTTTGTTGATTATCTTTTTATTGGACTAATTTATCTTGACAAATTTTTCCCATAGCTATGTTTGAGTAAAGCTTGCTTTAGATTAAACCTAATACTTCAATACTCACCATTTTATAGAGGTTAGATATGTCGTGAAAAGTGACCACTCGTTTGGTCACTGCCTACAGCCTCAATGGCTGATTCAATGGTAATTAGAAAGATAACTATCCATTACATGCAAAGTGCTCTTGAATGGTTGAGCATGAAAGAGAAATCCTGTTGCGATTGCCTCTAGGACATACGCTGAATTTATTGCTGTATATTTGTGTCAAAGGTGCTAACAGGAGTACAAGTTATCATTGGCTGGTTAATCCTTCCTTTAACATATATAATAAATTGCATTGTTACAACTCTTCACCTTCATGGACTCCTTTTTATCATTGGTTTAGCCGAGCTAGTTTTGGTAATTTCACAAGATACCGTTTTCTGATAAATTGGTCTGCAGTCTTTACTTCTGAGCATTTCATTACATGCTATGCACTTTGTAACCTCAAGAGATTAGATTAATTGTAGTAACTGATCTGTCCAGAAGAGCATAAAACTAGTTTTGAAAATTCTGAGGATACATGTGAAATGTATTCATGACTTGACATTAATTGTTAGTTGATGCATTGCTAGTAACAGACGTATTGTAACAAATACTAATATTGTGTGCAGCAGTGCAGTGCGTAACCTACATTAAGACTATCTTTCTGGTTTTGATCTGGTTTTTGTTGTTCCACCTGTCATAAAATATGAAAATATTTCAACTAGCTGTGGCCTTCAAGAAAAAATTTAAATAAAGCAAACGTCCATTGTTTTCGTTAGGATTAAGTCCACTTTTGGCCCCTCAACTATTGGGTTTGTCTAATTTTGACCATCAACTACAAAACCGTCTAATGCTAGTACCCCAACTGTCAAAACCGTTCCCTTTTAGCACCTGGGCGCGGGTGAGGCTGTTTTGTCCAACGTAAAGCGGTTTTGTCCATCTCAGTGACATGTGGGGCCCACGCGTCATCGACTCAACCCCTCCCTCTCCATCCTCACGGCCACTCCCCGCCGCCTCTCTCCGCTGCAATGGCCAAGGCCGCGCTCCCTCGCTGGCTTTGCTCGGTCATGCTGGCGCCGCTGCTCCATGTCACAGACGCGGCATGGCATGCCTCGTCGCGTCGCTCCACCTTCTGGGGGGCGCGGCTTGGCTGGATGAGTACATGGACGAGGCATCGTGGTTCTGCGACTCGTGCCGCGCGCTATGGCTCGGCGCCACCGCCGTCGAGGGCTATCTTGGCAACAATACCACCACCACCGCCTCCGCTACTCAGCAGCACCCTCGAGCCCCCACCTCTCGAGACAGGTAAGTAGTGATATTCTTCTTTTTCTCCTCCTGAGTCCCGAGCAACGACGGAGAAAGAAGTTGCTAGCTCAAGTTGAAGCATTAATAGCATCCAACGACTGGAATGGCTGGTGTCGCGTGCGATCAGCGTGTGCAGGCGCGAGGCCATGGCGCTCAAGGAGGAGAACCAGCTACCGGTGGAGACGCTGCTGGAGGCGCCAAGGCCGCACTCAGCCGAGGGCGCCCCCGCCGACGCCAAGCTGGGCGGCTTAACGGCTTCAGCGGCGTCTTGTCGCCACCCGGATGCTCATCTCCTTCTTCTGCTCACGCTCTCTCGTGGGGGCGTGCTCACTATCGCCCGCCCGGCAATGGGCGCCGGGCTCGCGCGCCTTTCTTACTTTTGCGCGGCATACAGCGCTTCGCTGGCATGCAACGCGCGCGCCATGGTGGGCGGCAGTCTGTGGCAGCTCCACTTCGCGCGGCGGGCGGCGCGGCCGGTGTGATGATGTCGGCAGGTCTGGTCAGCGCCAAGGCGCACGCGCCCGGTGGCGGCGCCGGGGTGATGATGCACGAGTTCCGACGCACGCGGCGGCGGTGGAGGCCAAGGACGCCGTCTAGCGCGGCGGTGACGTGGCGGCAGCCGCGGTGGAGGTGGGACTGCGTGCGGGCGCGCTCCAGGCCGCGTGCGAGGATGTGCTGGCGCTCATCGACGACCTGTTCGATGAGGTGGTGGAGGCCAGGAAGAAGCTGCTGGACCTCTGCTTGGGTCATCCCCGCCGTTGTGGTATCTCACCACCGCCCGCCCCCGCGAGAGGAGTGGAGGCCAGCGCCGCCGCGTCGGAGGGAGCAGCGCCCGCGAGGGAGCCGCACGAGGGAGCAGCACCCGCCCCGCTGCGCGCGGAGAGAGGAGGCGTCGGGGGAGTGGCCGTGAGGATGGAGAGGGAGGTGTTGAGTCGATGACGCGTGGGCCCCACATGTCACTGAGATGGACAAAACCGCTCTACGTTGGACAAAACAGCCTCACCCGCGCCCAGGTGCTAAAAGTGAACGGTTTTGACAGTTGGGGTACTAGCATTAGACGGTTTTGTAGTTGAGGGTCAAAATGAGACGAACCCAATAGTTGAGGGGCTAAAAGTGGACTTAATCCTTTTCGTTATTGTCACTAAGCTTGAAACAGATAATATGCACAGAAACAAATAATGCTTAAGGTTAAGTAACTTCTTTATAGTTATAAATGTAATGAATCTTTTGTTGGGTTTAGTGTCTTTTCATATGGGGGTGTCGAATATGGGGCTTTTAATTGCTTTGTCTTTTGTTGTTGACTTGATGCAAAATCAGCAATCTTTACTTGTTTGAGGAGAAATCTGCAATGGCTTGATGCGGAATCTGCAATCTTTACTTTTTTGAGGAGAAATCTGCAAGTATTGTTCCCTGACGAAAATTGTTTGTTTTGTGGCAGATGGAGCTGTGCATTATGCTTCTTGAGTGTTGCAGTCAGGAGAGAACATACCTTCGTTATTATGGGCTGCTAGGACAGCGATTTTGCATGATCAATAAAGTGTACCAAGAAAACTTTGAAAAATGCTTTGTGCAACAATATTCGATGATTCATCGTCTTGAAACAAACAAGTTGAGGAATGTTGCCAAGTTCTTTGCACATTTGTTGGGGACTGATGCGCTCCCTTGGCATGTTTTGGCTTACATCAGGTTGACAGAGGAAGACACGACATCATCTTCTCGAATTTTTATAAAAATTCTATTCCAAGTATGTTTGCAAAGATTCTGCTTTCAAGCCATAGCTATTTATCATTATTTGTATTGTATTAGAATACTGATATGCCTTTTTCCTGATTCAGGAATTATCGGAGCACCTGGGCATACGCCTACTCAATGAGAGGCTGAATGATCCTAACATGCAAGGTTCCTTCGAGTCTATCTTCCCAAAGGATCATCCGAAGAATACAAGGTTCTCGATCAATTTCTTCACGTCCATTGGTCTTGGTGGTATAACGGAAAGCCTGAGGGAGTACTTGAAGAACATGCCGCGCCTAATAATGCAGCAGCAGAAGCCGGAATCATTGGAGTCAGAATCAAGTGGATCTGAATCTGGTTCGGAAAGCTCTAGCGCAGGGTCTAGTTCTGAGTCTGAGTCAAAATCAAGCTCTGATGAGAGTGACAGGAGGCGGAGTAAGAAGAGGAGGAAAAGGACTTGAGAGCACTTCCAAATGTGCTTATTGGAATCACGTATTTGGTTTTGTTCAAATTCAAATGTGCTGCTTCAGTATGCATGTGCAGTATGTGATCTAGCTATTGATGTGTTCCGTTGTATAATCAGAAAGCTGTAACATGTAAGATACTATACTATCCAAACTTGTACGGGGCAGGTTGGTAGTCCAGCAACAAAGGGCTAACAGAAATCTTAGTTTTTTTCCCCACATTTGTCAATGCAGAACAAGTTTTGTACGCGGGGGATTTGTACCATTCCGACATCACACTGCTAGTTTACATGTTCTGGATCCTGTAGTGTGGTAACTGGTAATCAACTATGTGAGTTTTTGGTTTTGATTTTTTATTCTGCTATCGTTTTTCCCTAGCTGTATATAATCAAAGCTATCTAGACTTGTGACCTTCCCAAATTTTTTTGTTCGTACTGGTACATTCTTTCTTTGAGGTGATTCGGTATTTATTAAATACATACACGTGGCATGCAAATGCTCCAAAGTATGGCATTTGCATATTTTCTGTTGTGAATTTAGAGATGTCATATAAGCACATTACAGAAATTGTACAGCCTAAACCCGCCGAAAGTTCTATAGGGCCATTTGCACTTTGGTGAGTATAATGATAGGTCGTTGATGTGGCCGCGCTTGACGTGGTTGATGAAGAGGTGGTGGATGGCGTTCTGGTACGCGGATCCCGCACCCTCTGGTCCGAAAGGATAGGGCCTCGACATGTTCTCCATTGGGGACTCGTAATCGGCCAGGTGTAAGCCGGTAGCAGGGAGTGGTCGACGTCGCACCGTGCGCCCCTCCGGAGTAGCTGTGATCACCAGATCTGAATCTAGCCACCTCGGACGATGTGGCCAAGCATGTCGCTCGGTCATAGCGGCTTGGCGATCTTGGAGTGCAGGAACTTTGTCGCTCGCGGTAGACCGATCTAAGATCGACTCCGTGAGAGACAGGCGTTCGGCTAAGACGTTGGTGACCCTATAAATGATGCGATCAGATCGTCATTGTTGATGGATCTCCTAATCCAGTGACGAGGCGTCGAGATCGGAGAAGTTGTTGCAGATGTTGGCACAATCGGCGCAGGGTGATTCTGCACCGCCTCCACAATCTCACCGACGCCGTTAGCGCTGATGACCCAGGTCATGGATCCAACCGTGAAAGTCTGGCCTGGCTCGGGACGAACCATGGAGCTCGAGAAGCGGACCATCTGGCTCGCCATGGAATCATCGTGCACACCCTCTACCTGGCGCACCACTATCGACGAAATCTAGTCGGCAGTTTACCGAGGGGTATGCCCATAGTAGTAGATGAATCGGTGGAGGTGCGCGTGAGAGAACTAGATGGTGACACAGAATGCAAGAGACAACAATTACGCAGGTTCAGACCGTCAGCTTGATGTAATACCCTACGCCCTATGTCTTTGGTGGATTGTATTATGAGGTGAGATGAAATCGAGGGGGGTCCCTACCCGCCTTATATGGCATGGGGGTAGGGTTTATAGGTCGGTTGTTTCTATCCTGATCGGTTCACATGATAGGAATTACAGAGATTGCGGAATCTAGCATATCAGAACATATTTTTCTTGATCGCCAAGGATCTTCTCGTAGCCTTACGAGGCACGTCGACCTGTGCCGTGCTCCTCATGGCGTAGTCTTGTGGGCTAGGCCTCCCCTGGTGGCTCGGCCCATGTGCGCCCTATGGGTATCCGGGGTTATACCCCCACAATATCGTATACACATCGATAATGATATAGACCAGGCGTCCGGGCGGCCGGACGCGCCGTTCCACACTCCGCTCCCCCGCACTCGCTCTCCCCCTCCCGCCTCCCCCGCATTTGCTCTCTCCCCGCTCCGCCCGCCCGCTCTCCGGGCTGTCCCCGGGATAGGGACGCCGCGCCCGCGCACGTGAGCTCACTGCGCGCCCTGGCCACCCGTGCTCCCTCCCTCCGTCCCTCGCCCATCCACGCCCTCAATGTAACTCCGCGCTCCCCAGCGACTCGACTCCTGCTCCTCTCACCAGAGACGAGGATGACGGCAGCAACTCCGACGAGGTAGGTCGGTCCTTCTCTGGATCTGATCCCTCCTCCCCCCCTCCTCCTCCTCCTCTGGATCTGAGCCCTCCTCCTCTAGATCTGAGGGACGCGGGGATGGCTAGGGTTTCGGCAAGCTTTGGGACCCTATTCCCTCCTCCCTCCTGCGAGCTCGAGGTGATGGGCCAGGGGCTGTTTTTGTACGCATTTTTCCAGTTTCTCCCATGTTGCAATGGTTTTTTTAGGGATGTTGCAAAAGATGATTTTCGAATGTTGCAATGGGATTTTTGGGTCGTTGCAACATATGTTTTTCGAATGTTGCAATGAGATTTTTGGGTCGTTGCTATAGATGTTTTTGCAATGTTGCAGTACTTCTGCTTGAGATGTTGTAGTACATAGTTTTTGATGTTGCATCATATAATTTTCAATGTTGCAGTACATGTTTTTTGATGTTGCAGTATATATTTTTTGTTGTTGCAGTACATTTTTTTTGATGTTGCAGTGCATATTTTTCAATGTTGCACTATATATTTTTGTGATGTTGCAGTATTTATATCCCGATGTTGTACTATATAGTTTTTCTATATGTTTTCAATGTTGCACTTGAAGTGTTTCATGCTCTTTTGGGACAAGGACACGGTGGGGGAACGGGGTTGCATTGGGGAACTGGGACAGGGGCGCAGCGGGGAGCGGAGGACAGTGCGCGTTCCGTTACGCGTGGGGTGAGCGGGGGTTCTGTTCTATTCACGCGCGGAGGGCGGGCAGGTTTGGGAAAGGGACCGGCGTCCGACGCACTCGCGCGCCGGACGTCCGGACGCTAGAATCACCGTATACACTGATACACGTCAGCCAGAAAAGAGGTGGTGCAGGCGTCCCGCTGACTTGGTAGAACGGGAGGAGGCATCACAGCACATCCCTTTGGTGGTGGCCGTGCACACCGTCGTCCATGTTGGTGAGCCTGTAGGACAGCGAATCTCACCAAGCAATTGCAATGGCCTTCTCAGGTTTTTATTGCGCTGTAGGACCAATACATCTCATCATGACAGGACGACCATGGCACCAGCTAGTATGAACTTCCATGGCCACTTGGCCAGTTACAATCTACTTTCACTCGCTATTATTACAAGAACTCGGTAGAGTTCTAGCTAGATCGACGCGTTACTAGGGTTCAAGACGCAGTATTTTATTTCTATGTACAGTTGCACCTTGCACGACATCCGTTAGCTGCTAAGCTTTAGCTTAGAAGACAAGGCAAGCCAGTGGCGAATCTAGGATTTTAGTTTAGGGTATGCCGTCCAAAAATTTTCATATACGATTCGGTGAATCCTAACAATTCAGTAATAATTGTAAATTTTGCAACATGGTTTGATAAATTCAAGGACATGAGCGCACCGTGCACTAGATCATCACCGGCGGCCCACACATTAGCGCAAGCGTCTCGCTGTCTCCCAAGGGCAGGTGCTCCCTCATGACCTGTGGTCCGCAGTCGGTGGGGAGCAGGATCAGCCCGCGCTTCCTGATACCATGTAGAAGAGAAATAGGAGCCAACAACACGTATTGATCTCAATGAATGAATATATACCAGTATAATGTCCGTGCTAACGCAACGATTTTATCTAGAGAATGATCATAAAAACATCCAATTTGTTATTTTATAGTTTAATCTTTACCCAATTATTATATTGTAGCCTAAGTTACATTTGGCGTAAGTCCTTTATCATTTGTTGCACATCTTCAGGGATGTTGAAACATTCGTTTGCAGGACTCGTCAAAATATCAGCCAAGAATTTCTTCCTCAGTGTAGATGATAGCTACGCATGGTATAGAATATAATATGTTAGTATTGTATGTAGTGTATGGAATATAGTTGGAGACTATATATGCTTACAGTGGTGATCCGTGACAATCTTACGCCATCCCACGACTTCATGAAATTATAGACCGAGAAAGCCTCCCAATTTACTGACGGAGAAGATCAGTTGTTTATTTGATGTACATAAATCAAATTACTGTTTTTTATAGAAAAGTTGAACCAAATTTTGCGACACTTACCAGTATTTATGACCCGAAACCTTTGTTACATATTTAGGGTATTTTCGCTCCCAGTAATAAATATTTTCGCTCCACCTAGAATTTGATAGTGCCATGGCGAGATTGAACATTCTAGCATTAGTGTGGAATGTAGGTATATATGCCATTTCTTGATGATAACCCTTCAAACATGCATTATCTGGTAGCGGTTCAAGCGGATCCATAATGTGCACAGTTTTGTAATACCTTATCAATGCCACCAGTACATCGTGGATCTCTTCCAAACCCAGTTATTTCCTGATGATGATTGTAATTGTTAGTATATAATTTTTTAATCACATATATTACAAGTTTTTGATGAATTATATAATTTTAGAACTTACAGCAAATTTAAGATCCATGAAGTGGTATTTTTGTTTATGCAGCATCATTTCTTTGTTGCACACAACCATCCGAATAGCCATATTAAAGCTTTCATGTTCCATCTATGTATCTTCACGTAAAATATTTATAATTTTCCTAAGACTTAAACTAATTGGATATGGTCGTGTACTTCGTACCCACTCTTTGCTGCAAAAAAAAGAAGAACAAGAAACTAATTACTTAATGCACAAACAATTCTGTTATGAACTATTCAGAAAGAAGAAAGACTTACTCTAAAGTTCCATCATCCGCGGTGCACCGAATGGTTGAGCAAATCCATGACAATAGTTCTTCCTTGCTTGTCCACTTTATTGTACTTATCAACTTGGCGCTACCCGACATTAAAATATCCATTTCATCTAGCTCTACGACATCATCAACCAGATGAACTGGGGTCTGATTCTGTTGCTCGTTATCTGGTAATCCTCTTGCTTCATTTAACGGGGAGTTATACAGGATGGCAGGTAGCTTAAACCTGAAGTTACTTATATCTTCCTGAAAA